GTGCAGTAAATATATATATATATATATATATATATGATTTATTTTTGGGCTACAAAATGTTCGAATCCGCTACTTTTGGAGCTCCCATTCGCTACTTTTTAATCCTAAGTTCTGGCAACACTGGCAAGACTTAGAATATATAGAAAAATTTAATGTTGCTATTCATAGTTTTGAAATGGAATATACTGGTAATGCTAAAAAGTTTGAGAAGAGCTTGATAAAACTGTAGAGTATGACATTGCAATGATATATAGAGTAAGATATATTATTATCTGAAAGGATTTTTTTTTTTCTTTTGCTAGTTACTTAAGTTTCAATTATCTAACCAAAATGTAATCAAAGTCCTTTAAATTATACCATTTTGCCAACAACACAAAAAAAAGAAAAATATATAATTTATATCTTCAACTTGAAATTTTTCAAAAATTTTTCAGATCAATTAGGCTAATAGACTTCATAATCATTAAAGACTTCATATTTCAATAAAAAAAATTCACAAAGATAGTGTGCTATTTTGAACTTCAAGTAAAAAGTGTTTTAATACTTGATATTAAATTTCATATATGGCACTAAAATAATGATATTTAAGAATTTTTTCTGCTTGCTAACATTTTATTAAATAAAAATTTTGCTGAATCCAAAAAGAAAGTTACAATTTCATTAGAAATATTTAGAAAATTATTTTTTTTCATGTTTACATAAAATTTGAAAAGTTTTAACAACATTAGAGTTTTCTAGGTTGCTAAGGTTATGGCCCTTCTATATCAAAATTTATAAGATTTATAATACATTAAAATTTTGACTTTGTTATTTTAAAAAATTTGAATTTGTTCTAGAGATAATGCTTGCATAAAAATTTTAAATTTTCTTTAATAAACTTCAGAAATTTCCTCATGATATAATATTTGATTAACTTAATGATTTAGATCCATTATTAGAACAAAATGATTTAAATTGCTGATTCTGAACATTTGATTTAAATTTATGACAAAATAAAATTTTCATGATTAATTATTAGATCAATGATTATTAGATCATTACCCCTCATTGGATATTAAGTTTCATTGAGGAAACATTTGAAATAAAACATAATTAGCCAATACATTAACTTACATGGTATAAGTAAAGATTTTTCTCATAGCTTGATAGCTGTCCCTCATTGATAATTGGCTCTCCATCATGATGATCTAATCAAGAACAAAGCATTGAAAGAAAATATGTAAGGAATACTTTGTAAAATGGGATATTAGTAAATTCATTAAAAAAATTTAGTCTAAACTTGAAGATAAATAGTTTATTTATTTATTAAAACTAACAGGCATGAGAGTGGGGAAAGAACAAAGCTCTAAAAATATCTATCAATTCAAATTATGAAAAATTTAATAAAAAAAGGTGTGTGAAACCATATTTCACAAAATGAAAATTACAAAATTATTTACATATTAAAAGTTTTTTTTCCACTATGCATCTACATTGACAGACTTAAAATTTATATATAAATCATGATTAAAGAGAATAAAATAAAGCATGAAAAGAATGTAGATATATTAAAAATTCTTTCAAAGCTCAAAAAATCTGATGAATCTCATGCCTGAATTAACAGACAATAATGCTGTTAATGTTTCAAAATAAAATAAGCTGAGATAAAAAAATTTCTTAAAATATGTAATAAAATCAAATATTAATTACTTATGAAGTTTTAAAAACAAAGAAGCAAGATTTTGATTTCTTTCCTACATCAGAATATTTACTTATTATAGAAAGATATTGATTAAAAATGTGGAAAATAATAATTTCATAAGAAAAAATTGCAATGAATTTATGTAACCTTCTATTAATAAATATCATATTTTATTAATTAACATTTTTAGGTACTCATTACAAATGATTTCTGAAAGCAAATCAAGACTATTAAAAATGCATCAATAGCCTACACATACTACATACAATTTAAAAGTAAGTAAAGAAAATTTATCTCTATCAGATGTATTTTATTCATTGCTTTTAAAACAACAATAAACAGCAAAATTAATATTTTCCAAAATTGATAAAAAGTAGAAAAATTACAAGTAAATAAAATAAACAAATACAGATAAATAAACAGGAAAAAAAATACAAATTAATTTAATGTGCACAAATAATATTATAGATGATACTGATTATAAATTTTTATTAAACTATCATAACTTAAATCTAAAATATAAAACTTTCAATTTTTAATTTCGTTAAAACATTTTTACCAAATCAAAAACAAACCCCATAATAAAAATAAGACCTAAGGAATATTAGAAATAAAAACAGAACTGAACAAAATTATATTTTAAAATTAACTCTTATTTCAAAACAATTAAAACATTAATGGTAAAAATAATAAATGTCTAACTACTAAAATATTTAAAACAAGTATTAGTAATGAACCGTAAACAGGTTTGACGGGCCGACTATTTAAAACAGGTAAAGTAAGATTAAATGCAGTGCGTATATTTTTTGAATAATAAATTACGAAAATCTTTACATTTATGTAAATGTATTATATAAGTTATATTCACATTTAAAAATAAAATGACAAAAAGTAAACCTTTAGCAAACATTGAAAAAAAAAATGTCCAAATCCAAAGTAATAACACTAAAACTAGCAATAAAACTGGTCTAAAAAATTATCATACTTTCCCTTTTCATATCAGTACTCATGTTAGTAGCCTCTTTAATACAGTTTTCACAAGGCTTTGTCCGAGGAGAATTCGATTTTTTCTCATTGTTCGCCGGCGTCGAGCTATTTTCTGCATTTTCAACCCTAATAATTTCGAACTTTTTTCCAGATTTTAATAATGGGGATGAATTAGCGCAATCACGAATTGATTCGTTTGATCCTTCCATTGAAGAACTTTATTCGGTGCATACGACTGGAATTCGAATTTGGTGAATTAATTGCAACAAATTCCCACTGACAGCGGCTAAAATTACGAGTTGAAACAGCTGCCGACTCGATCAACAATAGGAGTCCGATTTGCGCATGCGTTTGTTTGCTTGTCCGAACTTATACACGTGGTCGACTAACAAATATATTTTGGTTCCTCTTCCGTTCGGGGTTTCCGCTGTCTTTTTAGCGGATGCAGATTTGACGTTCGATTTCAAATTTCCTTTTAAAAATAAATTTATTTAAAAATATTTCTGTCTTTGTTTTGTTCGATAAACGAGGTAAGTAAAGTAACTTATAATGTATTACTATATATTTTATTTTGTGAACACATATTATATGTATAATTACTATGTTAAATTATAAATTTTCCTATAAGTAGTCTGTAATTATTAAATTAAGAAAATTTTAATAATAAAATACAGAGAAACTCGCTAGAAAAATTTAAGACTTCTATAATTTAGTAAAAAAAAAGTTATATGCTGCATTTATACATAACTGCTTAGAAGAAGAAATATTAAGAATAACAAATTATATTAATATCCCATTATAGCACNGTATCAATGTAATCATTTATATAATAATAGATTAGTACACAATTGTATGTCAACACATTATTTATTACCTTAAACTGTCTGGAATTTATTATTAAAGGGTTGCGCTTGCGTAAAATTTGCTATTGTGGAAATTCAGCTTTTTTGCCTTTCGGCTAATCTCATCCCTGATTTTATGCACATTTTCGTTTAAAGGAAGACAATAAATTCAGGATAAATATAGTTTATTAATTAAAGTAAGATTGAAACAGTACTATGGATATTTTCAATTGATTGAAGCATTTTTATTTTAAGTAATCTAGATACATATATGTATTTGGCTATCAGGAAAAGTGTTAAAATAAACTCTCTCTATTGATTTAAGTAAATTTTAGTTCTTATTTTGGCAAAATTAAATTAATTAAAAGTAAATAATAAGTATTCTAATAATAAATCATTAAGATTTTTATGTTTTAATAAATTATGCCATTCAATTAATTAATTTCATAAAAAAAATCTAAATTTCATCCATTACCTATCAAAGCTGGCAACAACAAAAAAATTACTAGAGTAGGAAAAATGTTATATTCATCAGAAGATATTAAATTTTCCTCTAAAAATTTAACCAAATTTGCAAGCCACAATTTTAAAATAAGCATATCAAAAAAAGTAATAGTTATAGTTTTTCTTTAAAGTATACCTGTTCATAATTTTCGAAATTTATTAGTAATCTAATATATTAAAATAAAATTAAAAAATTTCAATAGTAATGAAATAAATAGGAACATAACTACAATGTAATAGCGTTTATTTATTCAAATGATGTAAAATAAAAAGAACACTTATGTATGACTATGAAACAGTCAACATAAGCATAACATTACAAATAAGTAAGTTTGATGTTCCAATGTCACCAAGCTAAATAGAGCATTTCAAAATTTGTTGCTAAATGCTATTGTCTCACTCCCTATTAATCTCCTTAATTATTTTTTTATTCTTTATATCTTCATCAAAACCATGTGTTGGAAGATCTAAGAAATATATAAAAGAGTTTTTAAAATTACTTTTTTTTAAAAACTAGGAATAAAAAATGTTCTTTAGTAGAAATCTACAGCTCATTTTTTTTTTTAAAGAAAAATTTTAAAATACTAAAATAGCGGATTAGAATATTGTATTTTATAATAAAGAAACTACACGACGCTTTCTAACTTATGTTTTAACTTTAAAAAATCAAACTAATTCAAATTATTTTTTTATGTCTAAGAAAAGAATTATATAAAAGAGTTTTTAAAATTACTTTTTTTTAAAACTTGGAATAAAAAATATGTACTCTAGTAGAAATCTACAGTTAATGTTTTTTTAAAAAAAAGGAAAATTTTAAAATACTAGAATAACTTATTAGAATACTGTATTTTTTAATAATGAAATTACACAACACTTTCTAACTTACGTTTTCACTTTAATATATTTAACTAATATTATTATTTACAGAATATTATTTACAGAATATTATTTACTTATATCAGCCTTAATTCAATTACTTGAGTAAGATTAAGAAGAAAATCTATTTTTAACTCAGTAGCGAAACTTAGTAAAATCCGGAATAAATATTAATTTGCTCAAACTTCAGTTTAATTTACAAAATATTTTATAAACAATAATTCCAAAAATTGTTTGTATTGAAACAAAATACTGGAAGAAAAGAAAAAGACTTTATTAACAATATTGTATCCAGGAAAAAAAGAGAAAAGAAAGAAAGAAACCATGCCATCAAATTTAAATATCTTGATGTTTTTCAAAACAAGCATTAGGTTAAAATAAAATATTTAAGCAACTTTCTTAACTAAAAAGAGGTACAAGTTAAATTAATTGTACTTTCTACACGAATAATGTGTAGAAAAATATTTTTTCTTTTTTTTTTCGATTAAAGAAAATTGTTCTCGCGGAGATTCGATATATTTAATGGGGAAAAAATGGCAGTGACAGTTGGATTACCTATATTTAATAAAAGTAATTAATAATTACAAAATATTGAAGGTATTTCGCACATCAGTGTGCAATATAAATCATTAAACTCTTGATTACATGATAAACTATAAAAAATAATAAAATACCCGGTTAGGGAATCAGTCACTGATGATTAAATTTTATTGTTTACATTTTGCCACGTTAGCCAACATACCATAACAAGCGTCATCTTGTAATCTAGATGATTCATCGACATATTGGGTTGCGCCGTAATTCCTTTCCGATCCAAAAGCTGAGTTTTGAACTGTAGGCTTGGTGACAGTGAATCTTTCTGACATGGTTGTTTTATTAGTGGGAATCACTAACGAATATAAAACAAATGACAGCACGCTCTCGATACCAGCGACGTCTTTAATCACTACCACCACTTTCACAACCTCTTACCACATGATATTGTAGAATCCTAATCAGTCTTTCAAGTGCATTTATTGAATACTGTGTTTGATGATATCTTTAAGTAGTAGATAAAAATTTATAACTTCATCTTGACTATTTGTTTACGTTTTTTATCAATAAGAAAAGAGAAGTAACTATATCTTCTGCTTGAGTAAAGTATTGCCAACGGAATTTTCATTAAACATAATAAATAATTTTAATAATATTTTTTTAAAGAAAATATTTATTTTCAGCCATAGTACATTTTATTACCTCTTTCTTTCTATCTAAAAAAAGTTTTCCTTTTGTATTATTTAAGAAAAGTACTTTATTATATTTTTTTAGTAGCGCAAGCAGACGATAAATGTTTTGCAACCGCGTCAGAAATCGGAACCGGGGCTGCGTTCCAATATTCGCACCGGTGACACTGGTTACACGAAAGCAAACTAGTCACGTGACCTCAGTTCGCACCGTAATTTAGGAACGATCGGTGCGGTTAGGTCCAGTTCTGGTTGCCATTAGCAACCAGTAGCAGACGCTCTCCTCTTTCGGAATCTTTGAGAAAAATATATTAGTGATAACAAATTTATTTTTTGTTCTATTATATTTATTTCTTGACCATTCTATTTTTGCATTACTTGTTAAAGAATATATATTTCTAGACTTTTAAAGCTGTTTCATATAATAAAGCAAAATATCATGATTAGTTTCAGTTTATCTTATTTATTTTTTAAGTTTAGTTGATAGAAAGTAAAACTTTAGTTTCTTATTGCATATTTTTCCTATTTAAATGTTTACTTTAAAATGCATCCATCATCTCAGTAAGTTTTATATTTAAATATTTAACAAAATTAAAGAGAAAAATAAAAATCTNAACCGACCAGAAACCTGGTGCACTTCGTGCGTAACTGGTGACACTGGTTTGAATATTGGAACGATCGGTGCAGTGCACTGGTGTAACTGGTTTTAATATTGGAACGGTCGGTGCGGCAAACCAGTGTAACCGGTTACACCGGTGCGAATATTGGAACGTGCCCCGGGTATTTTCGAATTTATTTGCTTACAAAAAAATTATGATAGTTTTTTTTCTCCATTAATTTGATAAACTTTCTTTTATTTAACAGTTTTGTCATTGTTATTCCCTTACCCCAAAATTAACAATTTGATTGAAGAAAAAAAACTATTTTTTTCTTAAAGATCATATCTTATTTTACAAATCATGGATTGGGTACATTGTAATAATTGTTTTTTATTACCAGATAGTGAAAAAAGCTTTTTTCTTACAAGTTGTGGTCATATTTACTGTCGTGATTGTGAGGAAAATTGTAAGTATTGATTTTGTATTACTATTTCATCTTTTTCTACGTATAATTAATCATTTAGATTCTGGAATATTTAATAGTCATAATCTTTTTAACATATACTTATCATTTTCAGTGAAATGTTATAACTTAAGACTTTCGAAACCAATGTTTCTGAAGTTAATCAATGAAAATCATTTATTTACCCCGGCAATTATTTGAATACATCTTGAAAGTTTTTTTTCGTTTACTAAAGATGTGTAAAATTTAGCAGTTATATGTTTGTCAACCAATGAAATGAATGGTAATATATGATTGTTTGGCCTTCCTTAGGATTTGATAATTATTCGTTATTATCTTACTAAAACTTGTAGTCAAATTGTTTTTCTTGTGACTGCATTGTTTTTAAATTCTTTATTATATATTGATAATAAATTATTGTAAAATTTTATTTATGGTATTCGTTTTCATTGTCACTAACTTGCTTAAAATAAGGTTCAGTATTGGCATTGTTTTTAGGTTTTAATTTTTAAATTAAAGTAACTATCCATAGGAAATTTCATTCTTATTTCTGCTACATGAATTGAATGTTTTATCTACCTTGTTTTCAGGCAATTTTATTCTATTTCAACAAACTGAAATAGTAAAATTTAGCACTCAGTTGTTTAAATTTAAGACTTTTTTAAAAAATTTTATCATTTTCGTTTTATATTCTGAAAAAAAGGCCTAAAAATATTTTCTCGGGCTATCTAGTTTGTATCTTTTAAGTACAATTTGTTTCCTTTTTTTGGTGAAAAAAATTATCTCCTTAAAGAAAGAATACTTTCTATTGTAATATGTGATAATCACATTTTATGTCCTTGAATTTATTATAAACATTTGTTTTCAATTGATTGATTATTTAATTTAGAATTCATTTACATTTTGATTTTTTTAAAAATTGTTTACGAAAACCAACAGTTAATTTATTGATTTTAAAACTGCTTTCAGAGTACATAGTAATTTTAAAAAGTGCCTAAAGGTGTTTTTTTTTTTAATTATTTCTTAAAAACCTTAATTATGTTTCTTTTTCATTGAATGTTAGTAGAAAATGCTTATTTTTTTCTTTTCTATAGTAAGATTTTATCTTTTTGCCGTATTGATTGTCACCACAAAATAATTTAATTACACACAAAGCGTGGTTTTCAAAATATTTCAACATCTTTAGAATTCAGACAACCACAGCCTATTTGGACGTACCACCATACGTATGGTTCGAAAGCTCTTATCACTAATGTTGAGTGAATACTCACAATTCCACATGTGTTTATATTGAACTGGATTTGCTGAATTTTAACATTCATTCAAGCAAATTTGCTGCATTTTGCTAAAGATTCCCAATTTTAGGATTTACCTTTGACGCTCTAAAATCCAACGGAAAATCTCTTAAATTTTTGCTGATTATGAAGAACTACTAAACATTTTACTAATTTTTTCCCCATATGACAGAAGAACATTTTTTTTCTCTATTCTATTTCTGTTCTCTTGTTGATTTCGTGTTTGTTTGCTGGTGAAGTCCTATTGTCTTTGTCACAAGCAAAAGCCAATAACGTTAACACTGTTCTATTTATAAATGAGTGCCAAAATCCTTGAACTTTTATACTTTTCTATTATTATTATTTGAACTTTTTTTATTATTAACAAAGATTAAGATTTTAAAATTTATCTATGAATTTTTTTCAAAATAAATATTTTCAACTTCTAGAATAATTTCAAATTAAGTTGGTATGAAATATTAAGAAAAAATCATTTATTGATAATTGCTTCTTTTTTCTTCTTCTTCAGGTGCCAGAGGACAGTGCAAACTATGTGGAAATCAATGTACAACAATAATACTTTCATCTATGGTATGTGAAGATACATAATTTTCTCTTGCATGCCAGTTTATGGCAAATGATGCAGTAATATAAAATTTGTTTTTTAAATGTACAGCACATAATTAAAGCATTAAAATATATTTAAAATTAATTTTTTCTAGGTTATTTTATTTTGCCATTATAAATTCTTAACAATCTCATCATTCTTATAAAACATGGTTTACAAAAAAAGTTTTAGCCTATTGAATTTCCTTGATCTTCCAAGTCTAACTGTACTTATATTTTTGATTCTTTTTTCATTGCGTTATTTATCCTGATTTCATGTTTAGAGTAATTTTAATATTATTATATAATAACAGAAAATTATATGTTTTCATTTCCCTGTTTCTAATTTAGAATTAATATTTTAGATGAAACCTGATGTACAAGTTTATTTTACTGATCCTGATGAATTATTGAAAAAGAAAGTAAAAGAGGTACAACAGGTAAAAATATTTTTTTCACCTAAATTATTTTATGTTCCTATCATTAAACTTGCATTACTTTCATATGATATTTATAATTAGCTTACAGGTTTCTAATAATAATTGTTGTATAAAAGACTAACATAATCCCTGTAAATGAACCAAATTTGTTTGCTTGTATTGGCTGAGGTATGCCTCAATTGCATTAAAAATCAAAAATTTAAACAACTCTTAGAATGAAAATAAAGAATTTTATATACCAGTGGTGTAAAAGAATTAAATAATGTTAGCAATAACATAATGATTTAATAAGCACCATGCAGGTTGAATTCATGAATTTTTAAATTTTTGTAGATTTATAAAAAACGTGTTTAAGGTATATATAATTATAATTTGTACTGCTGTTGTTTCATTTATAAGAAGATATATTGAATTCTACTCTGTCATAAAATTTTATTTTGTTTTGTTTAATATAAATATTTTTTTTATTATTAATATTTTCTAACTTCAACTATATTTTGTTCATCAAATAATATTTCTATATGCACAATTTATTTTCTGTTTGTTTGCAGTTGACATATTTTAATTTATTTATGTTTTATTTTAGCATATACTAGATAACAAGTTATAATATAAATTTGCTATATTTATTTAAAAAACAATGTGACTTTTTTATTTACTGTGATTTTAATTTTAGATCAGTAAAAAACATTTTTTTTTTCTATTCAATTGAAAATTGTTTAGGTATCTGAATTTCAAAAAAATCATCGAGCTAGACTGGTAGCTCATCAGAGAAAACAGGTACAATCTCTTAATTTCTTTCTTCTTTTTTAAGTTAGAATAATATATCTGGTATTGTTTTTGATAAATATTTTCCATGTTCTTTAAAATATTAAATTCGAGTATTTCATCAATTACAAAGTAATGAAAATGCCANATTCACTTTTATTTCTAATTCACTCCATTGATGTCGTAACATCCCTGAAAGACTCTTTAATAATCAAGCATTTAAATTCTTCAGTTACAAAGAGAAGAATTCATTTTAGAATTGAATGCAGATTGAATTGAGCAATCCAGAAAATTAAGAAGTTTATATATAAAAAAGCTCAAGTCTTCATCAGAGTAATACATTACAATTAGTTCTAAAGAAAGATCTGAAATCCTAGAGTCAAAAATAAAATGCTTAATAATGAACGTTAATAAACAAATTTTGCATTACTATATAAAGAGATTAAATTTCTCAAAAATATATATAGCTAATATAAATAAGCTGTTCAAAAAGCCTAGGCCTACATTAATGTATGACTATTTTAAAATGTAATAATCCAACAAATAAATAGGTGGATAAAACGGGACATAAAAAACTCTATCCCGTTTTGTCCAACTCATAAGTGTCCCGTTTTGTCCGACTCCGACCCTTTCTGAAACAAACATGGCTGCTGCCTAAATGTGCAAAGAAAATTCGATAGACTGCACATAAAAGTATTGGTAAATAAATGGTTAATCAAATTTAATATTCACCGAAATTTTATTCCCATATATAGAGGCAGTACAATGTAAAAAACAACGTACGTAAATGTAGAAAATAGAATAAAAAAGTTCTGAGACCTACAACTTTCTATCGAAAAGTGATCTCGAAATGAGACGCACCGAGAATAATATAATCACGGTCAAATAACACGTTTCTGTCGTTGTCCACTAGATAGCTGTAATAGTCTGGTCCCTAAGCGACGTCTCCCGTTCTGTCCGACTATCCTGTTTTATCCAACTTTCCCCTACTAGATAACAAGTTATTATATAAATTTGCTATATTTATTTAAAAAACAATGTGACTTTTTTATTTACTGTGTTTTTAATTTTAGATCAGTAAAAAACATTTTTTTTTCTTTTCAATTGAAAATTGTTTAGGTATCTGAATTTCAAAAAAATCATCGAGCTAGACTTGTAGCTCATCAGAGAAAACAGGTACAATCTCTTAATTTCTTTCTTCTTTTTTGAGTTAGAATAATATATCTGGTTTTGTTTTTGATAAATATTTTCCATGTTCTTTAAAATATTAAATTCGAGTATTTCATCAATTACAAAGTAATGAAAATGCCATGTTAACTGTAAAAATTCTAGATTTTAGCTGGTTTACTGAAAGAAAAAGGTTATTTAATAGATTTTTTTTTCAATTTTACTTCCAAAATATTTTATTTTTTTGATAAAAAGATCTACCTGATCCTATTTAAAAAATATTTATTAAAGTTATAGAAAAAATTCTTATGACAAGAAGAAAAAAAAGGTTTGCCGTTCCTATGGAAGACAATTAGCTGATGCACCATTATTACTTATATTGTTACATTACGTCTCCTCGGACTTTCTTTTCCAGAGCTTTAGCTATAGTAGTAATAATCATTACTTCCTGTTTATAAAAGCTTATGAAGGTTTTAAAATTTAATTGATGTAGAAATATGACTTTTTCTTCAACTTTTTTAAATGAATTATTTAATACTCATGCTTAAATTAAATGTTTATGAGGAAAATAAATAAAATTAATCTGTCTACAGAATTGTTTCTTTTTATTTATTCAATTGTTATTCATTGTAAAGTCTCGTTTCTTTTTTTTTTCTTTTTTTTTAAAAAAAAAAACTTGGTTCTATACAACTGCAATTGAATATTCTGTAATCAAAGCAGTACATTTGTCAAACTCAAAAATTATATTTCTACACTATTCCACTTTAATGGTATTTGCATATTGATTTTTAGTTGTTGTTAACTATTAGTGTAGCATCATTGAATACTTTATAGCTATTAATGAAAAATATGCATAAGATCATTTTTTTATTTTTTCAAAAGAAATCATTTATTAGAGACCGTTTGTATATACATTTGCTTAAACAAGTCTCAACCTTTTTGGTATTACATAGAATGTCTTAATCTCATTCATGATATTTAAAATGACATAATACTATTAGATAGTTCCACCATTTAGGATTTTCTTACTTGCAGAATTTAAAAACATATAATTCTGATTTTTAAAAAAATTAGAGCAGTTCTAGTAACTTTTGTGAAAATAAGTTTTGGTATCATTGACATGTATTCTAATTTTTAGAAATTTAAAATTTTCTTACGTATCAAAAACTGGCTTTTATGGACATCACCCAATATGTCATATCTCTAACAGCTAATTTTTAAGAATTTTTTGAGCGTATCAAGGTTGCTAAAAATTGGAATAATGTAAATGACACTTTCAGAACTTATGATTATTCCATTGCATACCTCTTTATCTTCTTTTTTATCCAGAACAATAAGTTCTTTCCAATCGTTCAATCGTTTGTCTCAAGTCAATCAATCAAGGGTATAATATTTGCATAAAACCAGTGTTAACTAAGGCAACTTTCTTCAAAATTTGACTTTCCCTCCTATCTTCTACTCAAATTTACAATGCTCTTCTATTTACTTATATAGATTTCTACATTTTTGTTTATTTTAGTACCTTGGATTCAAGAAACTGAAAACTATTTAAAAATATCGTTTCTTTGCCAAACTTTTTTTTCTTTGATAACTTTAACTTAGTCTTTTCTTGTTTCCATTCCTGTTAGCTACAGTGAATGTGGGTTTCAGAATAAGGCACTCCATACTAATATGTCACCAAGCACGAGCTTTTCGATTAATTTTAGTCTTAAAACAGTTTTAAGACTTGTTTAAACAATAAAATGTTTTAATCCTTTTATGCCCGTTTGTGATATGAGAGGAATCAGTAATGAAAATCTATTCGATCAGGGAATGCTATTCAAGTTAATTCAATTCCCTATTTATTTTTGTGTTATTACTTTTAGTATAAAATGGAAGTTTCATTTTTATAAATGATTTTTTTTTCGAAAAAGGAGCTTTAAATTTACTGTTAAGCAGAGTGAAATTTTTATATAGAATAATTTGGGTTTCACTAAATTTTATTCTTATTAGAGGAATTCTCTATTTTTAGTTATGTTGTTATGTGGTGCAGACTTTTATCAAATAAGTTTTTTACTGATGTCACATTACATTAAATGTGTTCTCTACGATTAAAACAATTACGGAGTAATTTTTTTCAGCCTTTTTGCTGTACACGTTGAAATTAATGTTTTCTTAAAAATAAAATTTTTCCAAAAAATTACTGTAAAGGAACTATTTTACTAAAGTTTGGTTTTATTTATTTAGCTTAAAAAGTTCAAAACAATTAGAGAAGATTTCCGAAACTTAATAAAAAATTTGAAAGAACTGGATAAGTAAGAACTTTATATTTTATATTAAACTTTTATTATATTTTTAATTGTTTACTGACATACTGTGTTATTAAATGCTTTTATTTTACTAATAAAAAGGGGTTCTCAAGGTGTAAGTTATTTAAATTTTTAAGGAGTATTTATGTGGTTTTATTTATCTCTATTTTCAAAATGCCATTTGAAGTTTATGTTTTGTTGTATTTTTCTAATACACTCCAACTCCAAAGTTTATTTAGTATTAAAAAAATTCTTTGAATTATATTTATATTGAGCCAGGCTCAGCTAATTGTTAATTAATTTTATTTAATGTTGATATAATGTAATTATATGCATTAGACAATTTTTGTATTGTTAATATCTGAATATTTTAAGATTTACATCATTTCAAAGAATAATGTATGATTATTCTTTGAAATGATCTAATGTAGAATATAGTATTTTTGTATGTTTTAAAAGCTATGTATTGCAATAAGCATGGTAAGAAATTTTTGATATCTTCTTTATAATTGTCGTATAACCACCTAATTAACCTGGCTATGCTTTGGGTCTAACACCCAATGTCGTCTCCATAATATGCAGAGGCAGCTTTAAATTTCTGCCTCACTGTAAAGCAAAAACAGTTACTTATATATTTATTCAATTCTCTTACTAATTAAAATGAAATGGATTTTTAGCCATAGTGTAGATTGAACTGTAATCTTCTAAATGGCATTTTATGATTCTTTTACTTTCCCTGGAAACATTAATCCCATTTTCTCATGTAGTTATTTTACTTTTCTACTAAAAAAAATTAAAAAAAATTTTGAAGAATTTAATCAGCAATTTATTTTATTCTTATAGTGAACGTAAAAAACTTCTGCAAGAAAATGATGTGATGAAGAAATATATTAGTATGCAGAGGTATCTATTAATTTTTAGCTTGTTTCTCAACTACTGTGAATAATGTATTTGTAATATGTAATGAAAAAATATTGTTAGTTTTCCAAATTATTCTTTTGTATGTATTGTTTAATAATTTTCTCATAAGTGATTAAATTTTTTCTTCTGAAACTAATGGTGAGAATGAATAATAATTGGCAATAACAAATTTTATTTTTCTTTTAAATAGTTTTCCCCTCTATTAAATGTAATACTTAGTAAATTATATATCCTTACTCTCAAAACTAGTTTTGTTTTACTATTTCTGTTAAAATCTTATTTATAATAATTTTCTATTGAAATTTTTATTTTGTGATGTATTTCTCTGTAAAACTAATTTCTTCAAGTGCAAGTTGAATGATCCCAATGTTTTAATTTTTCTCTTTTATTTTATTTTTTTCATTTTTTTTCTATAAATAATTTAATTTATTTATCTTGAATAAGTAATACTATTTGAGTATTGTACATTATAGTGACTTCTATATCTTGTACCAACCATTGTACTCTGTCGATCTAATCTTAGTAATATATTTTAATTACTTAAGCACACACATATTGTACTGGGGTAGTTAAAACTAACATGAATATTTTTAACATAACCTTTTAAAAAAAAAATTTGCAAAATTTTAAGTTTTATGCGTATTCTTAAATATTACTTATACTTACTTATTGCTTATAACTTTTTATGATAATCCAAAGTTCAGTTTGAAATTGGAACTCACTTTCCATTGTCACGAACAACATTTTCTCTGCCTTATTCAATAGAGAGACTGCGCTTTCAAAGGGAGTTTTTGTAAATTTCATTAAACTAAAGCAAACAAAACAAATTAGTCATGAAGCTTTAGCCAATACATGGATACTTTTGAAATTTAATAATATAAGTCATCTATGCATTAGACAAAAGAAAAGGTTTATTTTTTTTCTGTCTTTAAATATGTATCTTATTTAAGTTAGGAAAATAATTATCACCAAGTTACAAGCAATTATAAGCATAAAATTCATGGTAAACTTTTTTTGGTTTTTCTTAATGCAAAACAAAATAAAGGTTTATCTTATAAATACTTGAATAAATGTTAATTAAGCTATATTAATTGATTTAGATTTTTTTTTAATTACCAGTTGACAGATGTGTTTGTCTTAAGTTGCAATTTATTTTACTGACATGATAATTAAATAGAAGCTGTAAATAGTTAGGTGAGGAAAAAATCAAATATAAAAAAATTTGTGTTTTTTAAAACTAACTACAAAAGTACCGTATATTCCGGCGCATAACGCGCCCCGGCGTATTACGTGCACCCGTAATTCCTAATAACTTTTTTTTAAGATATACTCTTCGTATAACGCTCACGAAAATTTGGATTGTACATGAGCAATATCTCGTCTAGTATCTATAGAAAACCAGAAAGCCTTTTAGTGTGGGACATGTTTTGGTCCCACCTTACAGATAATACAAAAAAATTGTTGAAAGAATGTAACACCGATATGGCAGTTATTCCGGACGGATTGACACCATTAGTTCAGCCATTGGACGGCTGCTTTTAAAGCCAATTTAAAGAAACAGTGGAACACTTGGATATTGGAGGGCGAGAAAACTTTAACGAAAGGAGGACATATGCGCCATGCAAGTTTGGAAACAGGGTGCGAATGGATATTAAAAGCATGGGATCAAATTAAGCCTGAGATGGTTAGAAAATCATTCAAAAAATGCAGCATTTCAAATAATCTGGACAAATCAGAAGATGACTGTCTATTTATGGATGAAGGTAACACAGATGAAGACAAAACAGATTGTGCTGACGTGCTTGAAGAAATAACGGAAAACGAATATAATGAACTATTTATGTAACAACGAAAATCAATAAAGTATATAGGTAAAGGTATGTTATTTCTTTAAAATAAAAGAATTTTTCTATATTTTAATTTTTTTAATCTACAATTTTTTATATTCGACGTATACCGCACACCCGTAAATTCCAATGGTATTTTTTGTATTAAAAGTGTGCGTTATACGCCGGAATATACGGTATGTAAATTTCTTTAATTTCTTTGTTACCCAATTATCTGTTTCACAGATACTACTATATTAATATCTCTTGTATGCAAGAAATGTTTTGACATCTTATAAAATTCTGACAGAAGTTTACTTCAAATTCTGCTTAAAAGCTTTAATTTCAAGATTTCTTTATATATATATAATTGCACTATAATTACCATAACTTTGCATCATTGTTCTAAGAGGTGCATTTCATTATGCAATAAATAATTTTAAATCAAATTAGGATTCACCCCATGTATTATTATCGCCATGTGTGGTACAAAATAATCAAACTTTTTAAGAATGAATTTAAAATTGAGCTCTCCAAAATGTCCCTCAATAAAAAGGGCTTAAACGTAATAGTTTGAGGGGATGAACTCAAATGTGCTAATTAATTAGTGCAGATGATATTTTAAGTTACGAAATCAGACACAAAAACATTCATTGAATAGCATTCTCTGAACAAGCATACCTTTTTTTTCAACGTATTCAAATTTTTGATCCCTGAAATGTAAAGGGTAGCCGCATTCTGAAATTTGTGGTCTCCACAGTTTGGTGAGGAAAGCGATCTAAAGTTTTGACCTTCCAATGTTAATTTTACTTTTTGTGTATTTTGCCATACCTTGAGAGTTTTTTATGCAAATTTTAAAAAAATTTGCACGCAATTATAAGATTCAATTTTACAATGATGCGATGCCATTTTACTGCAGAAATAAATTTTAGTAAATATTTATTATTTTTGTGTTTTTTTAAAAAATAGTTGAAAAAATTTTTAATTGTAAAGTATGCAGTTTTTTACGCCATTTTAAACTCAAGATAAGATTTAAAGATTCGGCTGCTCTGACGAGCAGGGCACGTCGACCAGAGGTCTATTGTACCCGAACCCCGTGATTAGAATGAGACAGTGATAGGAGAGCAGCCTGACTGTCAGAACAGATGCGGATGGTCGTATTTGGATATCCCTTGTCTAAGCATATCTTGCAGCACAAGATAATGGCATAGACCTCAGCCTGAAAAACAGTGGCATAGTTTCCCAGGGGAAAGTGAAGTTTGGTACTATCATTGGAGCAATAGATTCCTGCTCCTGATTTAGCACCAATCTTTAAACCATCAGTGTACCATATTAGACATTTGCCTTTAAGCCACAGAGGAGAATTAAACCATTCTTCTCTAGTAGGAAAATGGATTTTAAAGGGCTTGTGAAAAGCATATTTTAGTGACATATAGTCACTAGGCATGATAAAAGAGGGTATATCCACCACTTATGAGACAAGATGTCCCTATGACAAGTGTTTGGAATACTCTTTCCATAGGTCAAGGTGCATAAGACGCTTTATGCCTGTCTGAGCTTCAACTTCAATGCGTAAGTTCAATGGAAGGAGTCCAAGTAAGCTCTCTAGATCAGCTGTAAGAGTGGTCCTAAGACAGCCTGACAGGGCTACTCAGACCATTCTTAGTAGTCTATTAAGATTAGAACTTGCGGAGCTCAATCTAGTCCTCGACCACCAGACGATTGCGCCATAAGTGATGATAGGACTAATAATCATTGAGTATATCCAGTAAACTATTTTGGGGGATAATCCCCAGGATCTACCAATAACATTTCTGCAAGACCAGAAAATCTTTCTGGTCCTGCTGGTACAGTATTCAAGATGATAACCCCAATTTAGTTTGGAGTCAAAATAAACCCCGAGAAACTTGACTTTCTATTTTAAACTTAACAAAATATGAAATTTGGGCAAAGTCAGTCAAACAGCTCCTGAGAAATCTAATTTTAAAGTAATAATAATTTAAATTCGATTTCTCAGAAACTATTCAGTTGATTTTGTACCTTGTAAACTTACATACTTTAAAATAGCGTAAAATATTGTATACCTGACAATTAAACAAATTTTCGACTGTTGTAAATAAAATAATAATTATTCAGTAAAATCTTTTTTTTTTTTTTATGGAATTATCTTTGGAAAAGCAAATTTTATAATTTTATGCAAAAATTTAATTCATTTAAAAAGTTTTCAAGACATGGTGAAATGTGCAAAAAGTAAAATTAAAAATAAAGGGTCCAAACTTTAAATCTCTAGAAGAAACTATGGAAATCATATTTCCGAGATTCTGGCTACCCCCTAGATTTTAGAGGTCACATCTGAATCGATCAAAAAGAAAGGTATGTTTATTCAGAGAAAGTACGTTTTTTGCCTGATTTCAAAATTTAAAGAATCGTCTGCACTGATTAATTAGCATATTTGAGATCTAACCATTAAGATTGATTTGAGATCTAACCATTAAGATTGAGTCCTAGGCCGTGAAGATCTGATCATTAGATCAAAAGTTATTAAAGGTGGACGATTTTTTTTTCTTTCCCCGCACTGTACATGTCTGCTTAGTTTTTGTTAGATATTTGGTAAAGTATCCAATGCTTATTAATCAGTTTTTTTTTAATCTTGTGATAATTTTTCTTTAACTTAAAATATCATTAGCGGGTGAGATATTCAGTGGAAAATAAACACTGTTTTTCCTGATCTTGAAAATGGATAACTTATTCCAATTTATTTCAGAAATGCATCAAGTAGCAACCCTGGCTCAGCTCAAAGATCAGATAGAGGTGAATATTTATGAACAACTTACCTTCTTATTCAATTCAAAACATTTTTGCCACTTTTTTCAAATAAGAGATTAGCAATTTTTCTTCATTAATTTGATAATTTTTGCTAATAGATTTTGTTTCCAATGCAGCATATATATGTCTCATTAGTTCATGGTGATTTTTCCATAGGTTACTAAATGTATCCACTTTAATTTATATATTTCAATTTGTTATAGGTAGAAAATCTCCATATGAGGAAAAATCTCCACTGTAAGCATTTTCTCTAATGATATTTTATTTTTCCTACTTTTTTTTCTCTTCGCTTTCTTTCTTATGTCTTTCTCTTTTCTCTAGCTCTACTCTTAACACAGTGTTTACAAAATTTACTGATGTAAGTAAATTAATTTTCAATGTAATGTTTGTTTGTTTTTTTTTAAATTGAACTTTTGCTGTAAATCAATTTGGTTCCTAAACACGAGTAAGATACATGATGTCTATATGACCAATGTGACTTTAAATAAACTTAATTTTATTGTTAATTTTAAAAAAAATTTCGAGGTCTGTGCATAGTATTGCTTTTATTTATAATGTTTATGTATTATAAAATACACATACTTTACAACATGAATTAACGTTTCTTAAACAAAATAAAATATTTGTCATATTTTCTATAAAAAAAAGATAACTAATTATTGAATAAAAATTAGTATCGTTCTTATAAAATATTACCATCTTCAGTAAATATATGATTCAAAATTTTATTGGAAAACTCAGAGCACGGGTCAATTCATTGTTCAAGTAATGTTACACACATAACTTTCTAACAATTTTATAGTGATAAATATCCATCATCATAAAAAAGAGCAGATATTTTGAGAAAATATTGCTTTTTTGTAGCTTATAATTAATAGAAATCTATGTCTGACATTTTTTACTATTGTTTAACATAATTTATTCATTGCAGAAAAGAGGGGAAAATTCCAAAACACAGAGAATAACTGTAATTACCCCTCCCTCAAATGGAAAAATAGGTACTTTTTTCTCTATTTATTCATATTTATTTGCCTGGTTTCTTTTTTTTAATACTTCTAAAAGGTTTAAATTTAAATAAGTATTCTATTGTCATAAAAACTCAAAAATAATAATATTGTATATCTTTTAGGTGTTATCCCTAGCACTGAATCACCATCAAGTTGCTTAAGAAAGCTTAAGTATGTGTTCATTTATAAACTCCATGAGTACCATGCATAGCTGCCAACTCTACTGGATTTCCCAGTAGACTACTAGATTTTACTCGTTTCTCCTGGTTTACTGGTGTAATAAAATTTCTCTCTCTCTCTCTTTTTTNTTTTTTTTTTTTTTTTTTTTTTTTTTTTTTTTTTTTTTTTTTTTGTACATTTTAGGAAATTTCCTAAAATTGAGTTAGTTTCCTATAAAAATATCTATTGCAGTAAATATTTGTTCTTTTAAAATATTCAGTTTACTTTTATTCAGAATTCCCTTTTTAAATTAGTGAAAAAATCTTTTAATTTTCTGAGAATTAAATGCCTATTACTATTTGAAATTATGAGTAAACATAATAATATTTCAAGTTCATTTGATGTCAATCATAACTGGAAAATATTGCAATTTTTCTATTTTGATGGCTATAGAAATCTCTAATGTGTAAAATATTTTTTGTACATTATGCAACAATTATCATAAAATTTAATTTATATTATTTTGTAAAATTTACAATTTTTTTTCATATAAATGTTGGCAGCTATGACCATATTATTATAAGAGTATTTTACAATTATTTTATTTGAATTATTTTATTTGAAATTAATTAAATTCTGAAATACTATTACATATTCAATACTATTATTTGGAAGTTGCTTATTGTACTAATTTTAATTTGATTGGGAATAAAAATTGATAATAATATTAATATTTATTTTTTATATTATTCTCAAACTGTATTTTTAAAACAAAGAAAATCTGAAAACAATTTATTTTTCAGGTAAAGTCACTATTTTTCCCTTTTTTTAAAAAAAAAAATTTATTGGTATAATGTTTAAAAAAATGAATAATAAATTTATTTTAAAAGCCATATTCTAAAGGAAATGCCAATTTTATAATTTTTTGATATTGATTTAATTATGCTTCATTTTGATTGCTAGCCTGTCTCGCTCAACTGAATCATTGCTAGATAGGAATACTCCTCAGTATATCTCACCAATGTCTACTCCAGGAAGTGTTTGGTATGTTTGTAAACATAAAAATTTACAAGAAATTATATTACTAGAAAATATATTATTATGGAAAATTAGTGTAAATATAAAATTGTTAGTTTTCTTGTTTTGTTAAATCAAAATTACTATTATCATTTATATTTTGTATGATTTATTATATTTTACATTTTTTATCCTATGTATTAAAATTTTTTAATATTAACAGTAAACATCTAATAATTCACAGTATAGACTTATTCTCAAAACAATGTTAAAAAATTAAAAGCAGTTAAATTGAAAAAATTAAATTAATAAGCAATAAACAAAATCTGGTTTTCTTTTATTTTCCTTTTTGTTTTTAATGTGACCTAGTCAATAATTAACAAGATGGCAAGGATAAGATATTGCAGGTTGGCCACTCTTTCTGGAAATATGGAAAACTAGAAATTTTCAGGGGCTTTAAAAATAATGCTTAAAATTTCTGGAAAGTACAGAATTAAGTATAAAAGTATAAGCACTGAACATAATTTTGCCTCTGTGATCACACAAAAACTTGCCTCTAATAAGTTTCATTTTATTTTTATGCATTAAAACTGTTAACTGTTAAATAGCTTAAAAAAACTTCTTGGCTGTTATTTTCCTTAATTTTCTCATCATAATTGTTATTTTATAAAAAACCTGATTTAGTTCTTTTCAATAAATAATTTTATTTAATTATTTCAAGAAAAATATCTTTCATTTAAATTAGACTTTTTTAATCTTGAGCTTTAAATAAATTTATTAAATGGAAATAATAAATTATATCCTTATTTATTATTTATTTATTAATAATGAACAATTTTAATTGAAAAATATGTCAGGTACTTCATACTGAAATATCATAGGTAAACATAAATCTGTATGAATATCTAAACATTCATAAATTATATTTAAAATCTTGCATATTTAAATTGAAAAACTATTCCAATTTTTTAAGTTTTACTCTAAAAATTTCGAAGATTTTTTTTAGATTTATCACCCTGGTTAATGTTACCAATTTTGCTAAGAATCTTTTACCTTATTGGCTGGAAAAAAATTTCTATATGCATACATTATGATCTAGGAGACTTAATTTTTATAATCTATATAGCTAAAGTACCTAAGTTTAGATATTTGCTCTGATATTTTTTGACATTTAGGTTAGCAATAAATAAAAATTATAGTTTTTCCCCATTGAAAATCAATAAAACATTTGAATAAAGATGAAACTCATTTTAAGTTTAAAGGTTATAAAATTGTAAATAAAGTTTTCAAATAAAATCTTTTGAAAGCTATTTTTCCACATTCATGGTGCATCCAAATAAAGAATTGTTCCCTTATTAATTCAAAAATCATACAAATATTTATAACTAAAGTGCTAGCTTATTATTATTACTAATATATAGTGTAAAAATATGAATCCAAACTTGAATTAGTTTTCAAATAAATTAGAAAATAATTTAGGACTTTAATTTTTTTAGGAAATTCATAGAAACTTAATTAATTTATTTTTTTTAAAAATGAGGTCATTGGTTTCAATTAAATTATTTTTCAATTGGTTTTCACAGATTTTAAATATATTGTTATTTCTAAAGATAAGTTTTAATAAGTAAAATAATATAATCGATGTATAATAAATTTTGAATACACACTTTGGAAATCTTATGCTTTTAATAAGGTTTGTCATGGGGATTACAGACCACATTACAAAAATTGTTTGTTATGTGGCTTTTTGTGTAAAAAAAAACACAAAGTCCAATTTCCATATTTTGTAAATGTTTTCCAAACAATGGAAAACATTTACAAACCTTTGGTACCTAAAATATCACCTTTGGTTACCTTTAGCACTTTTGGTTACTATTACCTTTGGTACTTAAAATATCAATTTCCATAAATAAATAAGATATTATTTACCATCTTTTTTTCCTACTTACTTTAACTATATCCTAATTGTTTTCTGGTTTTATTAACATGTAGTTATTGTAATAAATTCTTTCTCTAAAATTTTGAAACATTGCAATATATCTAAATAAAAAAATATCTGCAATTAAAAAAAAATTAAAAGCATTTCATTTCTTGTAAGAAATTTTTACCGTGCCTTCAACAGTCCCTGGCTTGGAGACATTTGTCCCTTTATTCTAACTTTCTTTGAGTATGGTTTCACTTCAGTATATTTTACTAATTGTTTGGGGGGTTTTTTTTCATACCCTTTTTAAGATATGTTTCCTTTATCTATTATAATTTTTACAACTAGCTTAAAGAGATTTTTATTACTATTATATTAATCTAGTGGCCGTTGTGTTGTACAAAATATAATTAAAAACGTAAAGTTTTGAATAAAAAGTATTAATCAATGCAAGTTCATGTTGACCATTTGATTTGATAATAAATTTTGACAGTTTATTTTAAAATTTTTACAGTTTATTTAATAATAATCATAAAGTATACTCTAAAGAATGAGTTATTGGACAATTCTCTCTGATATATGTTTAAAACTGAGAAAATAAAAAATATTTTTTTAAATAAAGATTTTTTTTTTCATTCTTGTAAATTACGGTGAGTTGCTTACATTAATAGTTACCACTAATAACAAACATTAAAATTAAATAATTTCAAATTTATAACAATTTCATTTATGAGATTGAAACTTTGGATTATGTTTTGCAAACTAGAGAAATTTTTTTGTCTGAATAGAAGCTTTAGGCTATTAATTCATAAGAAATATGTTTCTACAACCTAATTGTTTTTTCATTTTCAATCAATTATCATTTATAAATAAGCTTTATTTTAACTATGTTCATGTGATTTATTTTAGTGATAAGTATGGATCATTTGCAACGCCACTGAGCTCTGCCGGTGCAGCTACAACTTTGGGTAGTGTATTATTTTTTATTGTTATTATCATTTTGTATATTATTGGTAACTAACTCTTTGATTTTTATTAGTTCATATTGCACTTTTTTCTAATTGTAAAATGCTCAGCAACATTTTTTTAACTGTTTCATTATCATCCTTAAAAGAAATTTTGAAAAAAATCTTTGTTTAACTTAATTAAAGCCTTTAAAAACTAAAGCTATATTTTTGCAATAGGATTTTTCTGTGTTAATTGTAATCTTCGTGAAATAGACAACCTTCCCATAATTTAGTTGTTTAATAAGTGTAAACAATCAAATAAGAAATTTTTCATAGAAACACTCCTTTTTGCAATGAATTCAGATTCTTAAACTTATTTTCACAAACTTATTTTCACAATTTTAAATTGTGAAAATAATCACAATTCTTAAAAATATGTTACAATTCATTCAGTTTAGAGAATTGTCAGTTATTTGTATATCTTAGTGTTATTTTTTATGTTTAAACTTGTTATAAAATTTTTAACAGAAAAAATTATTCATAGTGAAAAAATGAAAAAATCTTGTAATGAGCATTTATTATATAATTGAAGAACTAATTTGTTCTGTCTTTTCGAAACAATATCTTCAAAACTTTAATAAATTTTGTTGTTTGTCAATTCTTGTATGCAATTGAATATGCTCTAGTGTTTATTTTATTATCTAGTGGGATTATGGATTATTTTAAAAATTACTAAAACTTATTCATTTTTTCTTTTATTGTTTTTAAACAAAACTTCCTATGATAAGATAATTGTTTTCTGTTTCTTAAATAAAAAAAGTTTTTAAAAAAAACACATCGTTGTTGCTGCTAAAAACTGTAGGTAACAGCTTCTTCCCATGTATGAAAGCATCATTACAAACTGCCATCTGTGTATAAAAAAAACATGTACTTGTCGTCATGTTTATTTTTATCTTTTTTAAAAGATTCAAATCTTTAATGTTATATTTTTATAAAAAAAATTAGATTTTTCTTTAACTTTTAACAACAAATTTTTACTCTTTTTTTCAGATGCATATAGCTCACCTACTGATTTTTATTTGAAGGTAACATGTAACATTTTTAAGATTATTTTATAATTGAAACTGTGCAACTAAAATGGATAGATTATTAGCATGTAATATAAGGTAGTTCCTGTAACATTTTGAATGACAACATGTTTATACATTTAATTATCAGTGATCTTTACCTTTAATAAAAATTTTCATTTGAGAAAAATATATATTTTTAAATAAACCTATTTTATTTTATTTTATGACCGCCGTTGAACAGCCGACCCAATTTTTGGGTTTACAACTACTAATGTTCAACGCCGTATCCAGAATACAGTGAAACTCCTGGATCAGTGCCCCCAGAGGTAATGATTTGTTATGGGAACATGGAGGACTTTGAGACTCGACAGATTTAACGTGCATCAGTCACCATTTAAGCCTATTGTAGGCTTCAGCAATTATTTGTTGCAGCTAGTTCAAAAATGGCAGAAAATTTCGAAAAAATATTTTTTCTGTCACAAATTTAACAGCATTGCTGTTTATTATTAAATCCTTAATTATAACCATCTGCTTCAACCCTACTGTCATAAGTCAAAGTTATGTAGGTGGAAAAAAGCTAAACAATTATATTGTAAAATTTTCTAAGCTTACAGTTAGTTTTTAATATTTACATTGATTTCTACCATATTATTTTTGACCTTAGCAAATTCATTTTAAATTACGGATTCTTTTCCAACCCATTGGTTATATTCACTAGCTGCTAATTATAAATGCAAATATTGCTGATAAGCAATATAAGTTGAAATTACTTTTTTTTTTTGTTGAATATTTAATTTAGTCTGCTTAAGAAGGAAATTAGAATTAGATAAGATTAAATAATAAAAAAATTCTATTACAACTCAGTTACTGAAGCTGCAAATTACAAGTTAAATTTCTCCAACTCTATCCTAACGTAGAATAAACATTTTGAAACACTAATATCATTGCAGTTTTCAGAATTTTAGAAAATTTTATGTATGCACATTATAAACACAGGAATGCCCAACTTCTGAAGATTACCCATATTTTTTAACTTTAAAAAAGCATGGGAAATTAAATTTTTATGAAACTCATATTTTCTGGCACTTTTACTAATTTAGTGAAGGAACTAACTTATTTACCAACTGCTGTTATTCCATTCTCGATTCGATACATTATTTTTGATTAAATCGTGCGCTATTGTTATATTTTTGTTTTAGCTAGTGAAATGTTGAAATCTTTTCCTTTATTTTAAAATATGAGAACTTTTAAAAAATTTGAATTTAAAACATTTCTAATAAATTTGAATTTAAAACATTTCTAATAAATTTGAATTTTAAACATTTGTAAATGTTAACTTTTTAGAATCCACATTATAAAAGGGACATAAAGAAACTTGTGGTGTAAGTAATTATTTATTTTCAATAATCATGTTTATTTTTTTGTATATCTTATGCTTGTATTAAAATGTAGCATAGTAGCTTCTTTCTACGATATTGATAATAGCTACATTTGTAAATTTATTGTTTCAGCAATGTGTTATATTTCAATTTTTTATATTATTTTGTTTTAAAATTTATTCTGGAATTTATCTTATTAGTTTTAAACATGTCTTACAGTTTATTGTCACTTTTAAAAAAAATTTACTAAATGTTTGATATTTCACTAAATTGTATTACTAATGCTGTTTAAATAATTTTATATTTTAAATAAATATATTTACAATTGGCACATTTGTGTAATATAATTTAAATACAGATTTAATTAGTAAAACTGATTTATTTTAATATAATTTAAATTAAAAAAACTTAAAATAACATATAAATAACATAATAAATTCATAAACAAAAAATCTAAGTATTATACTTTTTCTAGATGGTAAAGACTCATGCATAGTTTTTTAGATTTAAAAAAAAATTTATAAGCTACTTTTGGAATTACATTTTTTTATAACATTCTAATTTCATTTTAGGATAATTATTTGTTTGGAATTTGAATTTTGTTTGGAATAGTAATATTGGAATATAATTTTATTTCAGAATAGTAATAGAGTCTCAACTAAGTATTTTATTACTTATTTTATTTTTATTTTATATTTGCTTTTGAAAGGTACTTGTAATAAAAATGGTGTTTAATTAGTATTAAAGTAAAAATTGGATTAGAAAATTTTTAAACATTTTTTTTTTAACTTTAAATGTCTTTATTAAGTCTTACACACTTATTATAAATGTGCTATAAAATAAACCAGTATTTAAGTAAACTTATGGCTATGAAAAATTATTGGGCATTTAAACAAAATTGACCAAATTTGTATTTCTTAAGGCTCTCTACCCAAAGAAACAAATATTTATTAATTTATTTATGCATCATGGTTTACATAAATTATTTCTAAATAGTTACTTTGGTAATTTACTTTTAATTGAGAGAAAATGCTTAATATTGAACAAATATTCCTACACATAAATAGCTAGTATCTCTTAAAGGAAGAATTAAATTTGATAAATAGTAAAAATATTTTATTTCAGAAATATGGAATCATATGTAGCTTCAAAGTAAAAAAAAATATTAATTTTTGTGTACATATAAATTATTAGAAAATGGCCCGGGGGTGTAGCTGCAGAGCTATAGGCCCCACAGGACACCTTTGTCAACAAAGAAATCAAAAATATGAGTGTCGTGTGTGTTAAATTAGTTTTTACCAAAGAAAGTTAAGGAATCCATGTATTGACTATTATTCGATTAAATTTGCCAAAACTCTTTTTCTTAGCCTTACACATTCAAATGTGTTTGCAGAAAAGAAAGTGTTAAAATAAGAAAAATTTAATGAATCCAAGACATTTGCAACCCTATAACGGTTTTTGAATTCTATACTAATTAGGCAGATGTAGAGGGAATCTCTAAAAATAGATTATATTCTGCACTCAATTCAAAGTTGTGATACAAAAAATTGCAGATTATATTAATGCTTTTTATTTATTGTAAAAGGATTAAATAAGATAATTTTGTTTTTCAATGTTAGGAAATATATTATGCATATTTCAGCATGACAATAACAAAACAATTTGTTTGCTTAATTTATTTAAATTGAAAGCTAGCTCTTATTTGAAAAATTATTTATTTTGGAAATTGATTTCACTTTTTTTTTTTCAGACATCCTTACAGCCCAGTTGATTGATGTAATAAAACTGTTATCTATGAATTGATCTGAATTCTATCTGATCTTTGGCAGAATGCAAACTTATTGCAATAATTAACTTATTGGGTGTCAAATACTGTATAAAAATTTGTCTATATTATTAAAAAAAAACCTTTCTGTAGGTTGTGTGAAATAAAATATTTATACTGATAAATACATGTGATTATTTCAAAACAAATATACACGGTGACCAATAAGTTCTCATACACTTTCAAATTTTCATTGCAATAATACTAAATCATACAAAAAAAATTTGCAATAAATTAAAGTTGCAATCTTTGAGTATCTTTACAACAAAGAGTTTGGAGTAATATTCCCTTTTACTTTATTTTGAAGCTATAGTCTCTTTTAAAATCCATCACATGTGGCATGTTACGCTTTCATTAACATTATCTGCCATATCTTTTGAATTACATTTCCGAATTTGCTGATTTTATGTTTATTTAGCTGGGAGGCATGTATGATTGAACAAGATAGTCAAACGAATTCGGATCGGTTGTGTTGAAAGCCATTCAGGAAACAACAATGTTTGCTGCACCGCTCCTGAACTATAGGTACTGTATGAGAAAGAGCACAATCTTGTTGGAAGCGGAAATATTCCACCCCATGCATGCTCTGAGTGCTTGGATGTAAAACTGTTTAAAAAACTTTAGTTTTATGATATTGGTCATTGATTTTTTATCCTTTTTCAATAAAAAAAAAAGTAAATTCACCTCTTTTTGAAATAGTCTCCCAAACCATCACAGGCAAAGCATTTTGATAAAGTGGATGATAATGCTAGATCTCAAGGATGTTATTAACAGAAACTATTTGTTGAACAAGGATTTGTTTTGATATTGTATATCAAAACAAATATTTTAACAAATCCGAAAATTGCTAATATTGTGGCAAAAAAAAACTAGACAGGGTGCTTAGCGTTTTTAAAAAGTGGTTTATTATCCTTTGGACAAGGGATTTTTTTTTTTCTTAGCCGTGTTGATTGACATTCAAAATTACCAAAAATGCATGATTTTCACAATTTTCTCTGCAATATTTTTCTCAGGAACTAGTTATTTTATCATGATTATGTGAAGTTTGTGAAAATGGTTTTTAATTTTATTGATTTTATGTTCATAAATTCCTGCATACCAGAGGGTGTAAGAAATTCTTGCCTGTCACGCTAAAGATAAGTTTGTCTTTTCAGAGGAGAAAATGATCGTTTTGCAAAAAAGTCTCAACATCCAAAATTGTAGAATTTAGGTCAGTTTCTATTATAGATTGAAATTGGTCCCTACCACTACCCCTGTATTTTAGGGAATGCTTGATGAACTCATTGCTGTGACAGTCCCCATGCAGGTCCACACTGACACAGGGCCCCTCCGTGGCATTTATTAAAAAACAGATAAGTTGCATAGCATAGCAACATCTCTTCAATTTACAGGAATTAAGTTACGTAAGAAAATTTTACAAATTGTCTACAATAAATGAAGTTCTGGTGGTAAAATACCAGGCCAAAAGGCCTTTATAATATAAATAAACGCCATAAAATTGTAAAAGCATTTGTAATATGTACAAGATGATCTGTGAATTCGAGAATAAAAAATGATGTAACATTAAGAGACAATAGTCTAAAATTTGATCAATTAAAAGGAATTTAAAAGTAGGTGAAAGGTAGCAAAAGGAGTAAAATTTAAATGACTTAACACAGTCTAAAAAGAATTAAAATTATAAACATAGATTACCTTACATGAGTATGAAATCATTAAAGCAAGACTATAGGATGAGTAAAACCTAAAACGTGAGAGAGTAAAACCTATGGTGAGATTAACTATTTAAAAGCTCAAGGAAGTTAACAAATAACAAAAAAGGGTAAAAAGTGCATTAAAAATTTCTAGTTAAGACTAGAGGTAAAAGGAGAAACTTAAAAATGTGACGTAGAAGTGCAGTTTAAAAGGTATTAAGTTAAAAGAGGTAAGTTGAAACACAAGAGGCACAGCATCGAGAGGTACATATATAACCAAAATTAATTGAATTCAAGTTGGGCCAGCATTTTTTTTCAAGTGTAAGTTTTAATAATGTTCATGCAGACCAAAGTAGCGTAAATTTGGTCCCGCAGTGGACTGATCGTTAAGACACGGTTCCCAGCAGATCACCGAAGTCAAGCATCACTGGCTACGGCCAGTGTGCGGGTGGGTGACCACTTGGATCAGCCTGCGTAGGGGCAGAGGGTGTGCAGTATTGGTCCTCGTTAGACTGTTCTACCGTAAAGTGCTCGACTTCGCGTGCAGGTTGTCAGGCTACCGAAGCGGAGGTGCCATCCCTTCTGCAGAGGATCAAAATTGTGATGGCATATCTTCGGATCATACTCCAGGGATGTTTCCCAGACCGTTGCCAATAGCCCATTGTGCAGCTCTAGTGCGACGTAAATAAACAACAACAACAGCGTAAATTTGATCAGTATTGATTTTATCGAATTGGTTGGCACGGAGTGCTTGGAATCTCTTACATTTTCTAATTAAATGAAGAAGATCTTGCAGCACCTACCATAGTGCTGCCTTAAAATATTCTCAAGCGGATCATGGGTTAGAGTCCCCTCACAGTCAGACTAACCGTGGCTGGTTTTCGGGGTTTCCCTCTACACATAACGCAAATGCAGATCCTACACGAAGGCAAAATTTCTCCCAATGCTTGATCCAGGAGTTCTCTTTTTTTTTTCATTGGAACGGATTTAAGATTACGAAGTTGAATATTGGTAGTCGTAATCTCAAAAATTGTGTCAGCTGTTTAACGACGGTTTGAAAATAAAGTAGAGACAATAAAAGATTTTACTTTTGTAAGGCTGATATCGTCTGGACTATTAGTTCTATCCTCTCGTGTCTGGTCTAATTCAAGTCACTGTGACAAAATAAAAAACAGCAATACTTTGTTTGGCTATATAGCAATATTTAAGTGTCTTCATTAAATGTCATGTGAGGTCATAGGAATTTTTACCACTTAATAAGAGGAGGGTATTTAACAGAGTCCTTCTCAAAATAGAATTTTTTTAAATGCCTGGGTTAAAGCCTATTATTTTTTTACTTTTTACATTGGTGTGTAAAAATTATGGACAAAGTGGTTTTTCGAATGTAAGTTTGAACAGCAGCGTTGAAAATCAAATAATTATATCACAGAATCATTAAAATGTAAGAATATGGGAAAGTAACCAACTTGAAAAAAAAAAATAAATCCACAGGAACAATAAGGAACTTTATTGAAATAAATGCCTAAAAGACAATTTTACAAACGACCAAAACGTCTATGTTACACGAGGTTGGCTGGGAAATTCCAGCCTTTAGTACGGGATATGATCACCCCTGACTGCTATGCAGGATTGACATCGTCTGCTCATGCTGAGGATCAGGTTGAAGAAACTCTTGAGGAATTGCTGTCCATTCTTGATGTATTCAATCAAATTAAAGTCCGGGGACGTCACCGACCATTCCATGTGTGCAATATCTTCACTCTCTTAACAGTTCTATGACAGCCACAGTACGATGTATCGTTCATGAAGATGAACTCAGAACCCACAGCACCCCTAAAAAGACGCACATGAGGAAGAAGAACCTTATTGCAATAGCGGGCGCCAGTGACGAAACCACCTTGAAAGATGGGTTGATCAGTACGGGTACCAAGCATGATACCGCCCTATACTCCACTTCTATCAAATCTGTCTATTTCGATGATACTAGAAGGCTTAATGCGTGTTCCTAGCTCTCTTCAGGTGTGTATACGTCCGAAATCAAGGGTCAGACTAAATTTCCTCACATCCGCAAAGAGAACTCGACCCCATTGTGCATTTGTCCTGTTGTTATGTTTCCGGTACCACTTTAAGCAGCGTCTCCGGTGAACTGCCGTCAATAGAGCACGCCGTAATGGTCGTCATACACCCTTATTCAGTCTCTTAGCCACGTGATATCGGGCGTTCAGTACTTTGCTGTATTTGCCTAGCGATTTCTCCTGCAGTCAGCTGTTTCATCTAACCTGTAGAAGTATATGCCGGTCATCCTCTGCAATGATTGGTTAAACGACGCGTCTACCGAAAATTACTCTAACCGTATAAGAGGTTGGTGTTGTAGTTAATTTACATCGCACTAGAGCTGCGCAATGGGCTATTGGCGACTGCCCGGGAAATATCCCTGAATATGATTCGAAGACATGCCTTCATAATTTTGATCCTCTGCCGAGGGGATGTCCCCCCTGCTTTCGTAGCTCGACGATCTGTACGAAGTCGAGCAATTTACGGTAGAACAGTTTAACGAGAACCAATACCGCACATCCTCGGTTCCTACGTTGAGTAATCCAAGTGGTCACCCACCCGCACTCTGACAGCAGCCAGTGATGTTTGACTTCGGTGATCTGTTGGAAACCGTGCCTTAAGGATCAGTCCACTGCGGGTCATTCACTAATACTTTCGCTAAAACACAATTTTATTCACCAAATTTACGATTTTATCACATTTTTCAAGGCGAGGAAATGCTTAGTGCCGGTTACTCTGGTTTGCTGCACCGATCGTTCCAACAATATTCAAACCAATATTCACCGGTCGTTCCAATATTCACCGGTGCGAATATTGGTCGGTTTGGTCAGTTCGCATGACGTCATTACCCTTATGTGTTTACAAACTTTATTTCGGAACTAGCTTGCTTTATGAAGTAACGTTGTTTATAATCTGGTTTATCTTTTTACGAAGTAAGTTTTGAATTATCTACACTATTATACATTCAAGTGGGGATATTATCATAACTACGGCAAGTTGGCGAAGAGTCGCCGAGGAAGGAAGATAACGTTTCTGGCGGAGGGAACCAGTTTTCCTCGGATCATGACGTTTACGCCTCTTCCTTCTCATTGGCTCAAATTCCCTGACTACTCCTTAGAACTTATCGGTTAAGATATATCAGTTATTAAGTAACCGGTTCCGATTTCTTGTTCTTAAATAACGTGTACAAAATATTAGTTCTTGAATAACGTACTCACGGTGTCAGTTCCTGAAGATAAAACACACGTTTTGCAAACGTCTAATCTAAAGTTATTAATCCTTTTATTCTTTTTTAAAAAAAAATCTGTTTGACTCAAAATTAATGAGATTACATTTGAATAATAATTTTAAAAAGTCTTATAATGCACCACAGTTTCTTTTCCTTGTTTCTGAAATATAATTCATATTTGATTTAAACATTTTATTCATTTTTCAATAGGATGAAGATTTAAATGAACTATGCATTTTTCAATACAAAATGCATTTAAGATGGATCTGAGGAAAACGTTTCTAAGAAAGCTTAGACATTTNNNNTTTTTTTAGAGGAAAGGGCCATATCTCAGAAAATTCAAATTGTCTTCCTTTCGAGGGGTACAGATACAAATAAATGATGACTTAAGATTGAAGAAAGTGGGAGGTCTAGGAAAAGAAAAGTTTCTTGATTGACATAATTTTCAACCAATAACTTTATTTAAGCTACAATCAGTAACTAATTTCCCGTATTTACACACCCCCGTATATACACACAAATTAAACATTTTGGTAAACACTTTACACCTTAGTTTACAGGATTTTGTTTCAACTTGGTTCGTGTTTAGATTATTTTACTTTTTCGCATTGTTTAATTTTTATTTAACTTTATCGATTATTTTACTATTTGATTTTTGTGACTATTTTAAGAGAAAAGTTTCGGGCAACGATCATATAAAGACAAACATGACTATCTACACTATTATACATTCAAGTGCCTCGACTGTAAGCTTTTTTTAAATATTTATTTCCTAGATGAATAATTTATTTACTTTTTACTCATTCAATTTAGAAATATAGCCAGAGGCGTATCTAGAGAAAATGGCACCCTTCTTAAAATATTTTTATTCTCTATTGTTTCACATATATCTATTATATAAATATATATACATTTATATAAGCAAAAAAATATTTTAAAGTGTTACATTACAAATATAATTTTGAACAAAAATACGCTCGCACACAAATGTTGCTCAAAGTTAAAACCTTATAAATAAAATAATTGTTATTAAATTATTCATTTTGGTATATTTATTATTTACAAGTCATTAGAAAAAATACACTTTCAATGTAGGTTCAAGTTTGACAACCATATCATACTAAGTTATAATAATAAAAAAATATCTGATCATAATTACATACTCTGGATCAGGGATTTCTATTTTACATGAGGCGGGGGCCACAATTAAAAACACAAATGAAATGGCGGGCAGCAACTTTATCAAAATTTTACGTATGACTCTTTTATGTTTGAAGGAACATTAAATATTACTGTCAGATTTTTACCAAGGTGTACAAAACATAAGTATTGTGTTACAAATTATAATAAGAAGTATATTTTAAAAATAAAAAATTCGGGCTACAATAACTTTAATGTGCACCCATGTATTAAACAATTGATGAGCAACAGATAAGATATAAAACTTTTAAAAAGTTGGTATTAAAACTTACATAGTAGAACACAAAATGTTCAATAACAAAATTGAGGTTTGTCTGCTGCAACAGACAAACCTATTTGGGAATCGATATTTACATTTTAAATTTACAAATATGTTTGTAAATATTTTTATCCAAAATGAGCGGTTTCAAAAAGTTAAATTGGAGAATTTCTTCTAGAAAGTTTCTGATACACACATGCTGAATTATACTATTCACAAAATACAAAGAAATGAAGTAAAAGAGGGACAGCAACATACACGATTATTTTTGTATTTGAATAAATATTTTCTTGGATGCAAAACCCGAGAAATAATTTTTATTGCGTCGTTGGTGTGATAAATTTCACAGAAACTAAGAAATTACGTTCTAATTAACGAGAAAAGTATTACCTTACCTTAATAACTTCAATCTTAAATTTTGATGTATCTGGCAAACACAAACGTTGTGACATCCAGCTTTATTTGCCATAATACACTCTTTAGGTCGCAATTTACGAAATGCATTTAAACTTATTTGTATGTCAATAAATTTTTTTTTTAAATATAATATGCAAATCTTTTAAGTTATTCAGTAACAATCTCTTTTGAATATGCTGTCGACCACTACTAGTTTTTACAGAAATAAAATCTTTCGACCCTGGCATCATGCGATTTACATCGTCTGACAAGTAAAACTCAATCACTTTATTTTTTATCTCATCACTAATTGGTTTCTTATTTTTTTTTCGTTTTGGACAGGTTTTGTATCCTTCTGCCCTCAGCTTTTTTGCTTTAACTGTCATTCTATGTGAAACTTGGAAATATTTCTGCATTTTTTGAATGCTAACTTCCTGAGGCAAAGTAGTCAAATTTTCAACTTTTTTAGCATGATTTTCAACTTTTTTGGCATATCTAATGCATTTTTTTATCTCTGTAATCAAATTCTCATCCATTTCAAATGATTTGGATTGCTTTGTTCTTTTTTCCAACACATCAAGTAAGAAGTTTGCCCTTTCATTACCAGTCTCATCAGACACTTTCTGCCGCTTCGATGTATCATTGCATTCTTGCAAAATTCGCTTCACTTAGTTCCAATTTTCTTGACGGTCAATATTCTTAAAACAAACGTTTGGATCTTTCTTCTCATCGTCAAAATCACACTCTTCTTCAGAACAATTCGATACCACATTTTCGTTATTTTCTAAAATTAACAAAACGCTTTAATTATTAGAATTATCTAATTTGAAATTAATATTTTAAATTATTTGCAAAGTTACTAATATACTTACTTTTGTCATTAGTAATTATTACGGGTATATTTTTCTGAAAAATTGTCCAACGACAGGAATCACATATGAATTGATTTATTAAATTCGAATACCAGACTCCAATTTTTTGTCACAAGCTTAACATTTTTGTAGACACTTCGATGCTTTAATTTGTTCAGCGGGTTGCAGCAATAGTTCACCATTTCTTGATTTTATCTGTAAGTTTGTAATTAAATTTCGTGATAAATATTCGAATCAAATTCTTAGAATTAATGAATATCTTAGAAATGTAATTTTATGTTTAAAAAAACAATAATTATTATTAAAGTTGATATTACTAAGTTAAATAACAATTGAAACTTACCTTATTTGATAATTATTATCACGTAGATCAGACATCTCCGAATTACCATAACAATGAGGTAGTCAGCGCTGACCACAGAGCGTGCCTCAGTGCAGCGTTTCGAGAAAGCAGCTATAACTTTTTATGGAATTGCGATCCTTTTTTTTTTTTTTTTATGAAAAGCCATTTTGTTCAGAATAAAATTTACTTTAAAATGAATTTTTTTCGAACTTTGTACGACATTAACAACATTTTTGTTTTTCATTTTACAACTTAATTTTGTAATAAAAATTAAAACATTTGTCTTTAAATCATTATTAATTATTTTATCAAAAACTTCAATTATTTCCTCGTAAAATGATGTACATTTTTTAAAAATCCATTTGTTCTATCCTTAGATATTTATTTTTTTTATTAAAAAGAGCTTTAAAATTTAATTGTTAATATCTTGTAAAGTAAATTAAATAACAAAAAATTGTTTTTGGGCTATTTTGTATAATATATCCTTGTTAAAAAAAAAAAAAATGTAAAAGTTATGTCAAATTTTGGGTGTTACCGCTATTAAAATTTTGACTTTTATTGATTTTTTACGAAAATTGTCTGCAAAAAAATGACAACTAATATATTTTAGTTCACGGGCCACAAAAAAAGTCTTCGCAGGCCACCAGTTGGAAACCACTGCTCTAGATTATATATATAAATGACAATAAATACATTCTTTGATGTGAAAAATATTGCAGGAAGTTTCTTAAAATAATTGACCCAAATAATCAATTTAGTTAATTTATTTACAATTCATTAAAGAAAACGATGTTCTAAATGTAATTAAATTTGGCAAACATTACATACTAGCAGATAATAATAAAAAATTATCTGCACATAATTACATGCGAAACTCTTCTTTAAACAGTGACAACAATACATTATTTGATACGAAAAATATTGCTGGAGGGTTCGAAAAGTAAAAGAACCAATTAATCAATTTATTTAATTTATTGACAGTTCATTTAAAAAAACAAACTAGAAAATCTGCACTAATAATTAAATTTTAAAAACACACATTAATTTCTCTTGTTCATATTTGTCACACAATTTTCGCATAGTTCACAAAATAAATAAAATGAAGGCTTAATTTTTAAGAAGAAATATTCTGAATTAATATATTAAATAGGGTGACCCGGGGTAATTCACGATCACTCTGTTTCTGGGGTAAATAATGATCACCTAAGTTTTATTTTAAAAAATTTATTTTTTTTTAAATTTGAGACATGGACAAGAATGCTTGTACACTTTACTAAAGTATAACTACATTTAGTTAATAATAGTTTTTTGTTTAATCTAACGAAATAGGTATCTTTTAAACTGCTCTCTGTATTTTCCATTTCAAAGATGGGTTTCAAGATGTGCACATTTCTGCAAAGATCCCCCTCCTTCTCTTAATAATAAATATTTTAAGTTACTTTCTTTTTCTTTGATATAAAAATAGTGTAAGCTTTTGTTTAATTGTTTCACATCTACTGTAAACATTATAATTGATTATAGGAAACTATATCAAATGTTGCCCCCTACAGA